AATTGAAAAGAGTTACTAGGAATAAGATTATGAAGATCTTCAAATGGACAAAATTCTCCCCCATATCTCTTTCTGCCTCCAATCTGTATCATTGATCATGGATTGTTCTTCTACTCACTTTGATCCATGTATTAATATCACTGAGACAGGGAACTGCCAGGCAATGCTTCAGGCATTTCTTTAGGCATTGCTTAACTGTGCAGGCATTGCCTGACTGAGTCAGGAAGTCTCTAAACAAAGTTTCTGGTTACCCTGATCAAAACAACATGGTGGCAGGATTAGTTCCAACTGGTTAGAACCAAGATGGTGGAGAAATCTACTGCTTCTTGACCTTATAGCTTTATTATGCTATTATTACCATAAAATTACCATAAACATTTCTAAGGAAATCTCCCACTCCCATCATGAACCTGCCGCCATGACACTTCCAGTTTAACTGTATTTAGTCAAAAGGAGGGTGTCACTCTAATTCCAGGAAAACACTGCCCCTTTCCAAGAAATGTGAATATTCCTCCCCTTGTTTAGCCTGTAATTAAGCCTTTGCTTAAATAGAGTGGCTAAAGGAACCATGGGGCCTGTTACTTTAGTCCTCCATGGGGAAAACTAGCCTCTACTCTGTCTGGAGAGTAGTAGATTTTCTATGCTTTCTGAATAAAACTTGCTTTCACTTTATACGGTTGGCTTGCTCCTGAATTCTATCTTGCATGAAGCCAAGGATTCACTAAGACTTAAAGTGATTCCCAACATTGGGAGTCACTTTCCCGTGTCACCACTCCATATTTATTATTCTCCCAGGTCTATTTGAAAGAAGTTATGTTACCAAACACACCCTTGATTTCTATGAGATGCCAAACTGTTTCAAGTATTTTTATTTTATATCCAGGAAACACTGAGGTTTATTTCTCAATTCAAGTCCATGAACAAAATGAACAGGAAAATCAAAACAATTACTATTATACATATTGAACATTTTAAGATATTATCTGGAAAGTCATAAAATAAGTGATTATGCATATACTATTTTTAACTTAATATCTATATGTGGATATTTATAGTTTTCTATAAATAGAATAAGACTCTTCCAGGTATAAACTCTTC